CAGTTTCCTCCCTGGCATTGTTTTTATCCATGTTAGCCTCCCAGTTTGACAACATGTCAGGTCGATGGCAACCAAGACGTCACCGTCCTCAGCACAGGCTAAAAGAGCCCAAGACAATTAGCACCCTGCGGCTTCCTGGGAATCTATAACACGTCCCTGTCGTCATCTGGAGATGGCGACGCCAAGCCCAGCTACTCGCTGCTGGAAGCCAACACCGTGTCAGCTGGTGGGGGACATGGGCCGCCAGCAGGAGGGATAAATCAGCGGTGTTAAATCCCCGAACCACGGAGGCTCTGTTTACATACAAACTTGTGAATCACTCCCTTGCAGAACACAGACCTAGGAGGGTTCTCAAAGAGCACTGCATCCTACACATGAAATTCATCCACTAATTCACATTGATGAGAAAAATTAAGCTTTGTTGGCTGTATGTTGGCCGTGGATTTCAAGTGTTCATACACATAATTGTAGGATCCGTCAACTGTTTCAGCACTGGGGTGTTTTCAGTAAAAATGACCTTGCTATCTTTCTTCTTATTCCTTAACATGGGTGGTGTGTGGTTCTTTGGGTTGGAAGGTCGTACTATTGAACCCTTAGGAAAAGTCCTTAACCTTAATCAGTTATTCCAGGGACACTGGAGGATCCTTCTCTCTGATCATCAGTTGTACATCACTTTGAGCAACAACATTTTCAAAATCGATGTATAATCATCTGAACACCATGCCTTCTCTTGTGCATCTTCTCTTGTGCAAACACTGCAAATTTTTCACAGCGATCACTGAATAATAAACATTCTTGGAGTGATAAATGATTGACTCACTTTATCAAACAATGAAGCTAAAATAAAGCTAAAATCGACCCTTCTGTGATGTGAAATATTTAAAACATGGTGACGTGAATTTACATAAGTAATGATCATCAAATAATGAACTGTGGAAATAATTTTGCATGTAAAATATGTGAAATTAATTTATTTGAAATTATATCGTGATTATGTAGCAATAAATTCAAGACACAATGATCAGGCTCAGTATGCGAAATACGGCGAGGTCCGGGGGGGTCCAACACCCCCCATTAACCCATGAGACCCCCTGAAAGCCTCGAAAGCAAAATTTTAAGGGGGTCTCAAGATCGGTATTGCGCAACAATAGGGAGATGGGGACCCCCCCAAATAATGATGGGTATTTTGCAGACTGATCAGGCTGCAGTATGTTTAACATGATCCAGTCTAATTCAGCCCAAATTATCCAATCAAGCCACTGTCCTATCAATCTTCATAATGGTTAGAAGGTAGGATATTTTGGAGGGAAACAAGTATGAGGCCTGGACAATGGCAATGCTATAACCAACACCCCAGTTATCACATTCTGAGAGTGTTGGGGTGCTTAAGCCTACTTCCCAATGTGAGGTATTACTGTTTTCTCCATACTGAGCATTGTCCAAGTTTTCATATTCCTGATATTGAATTTTCCGATGCGGCTTCATGGTTTGTGATTTAATTTCGTTCTGTTCCTGATAGTTTGGGCCAGTTTATCTGTGTTGTAATGTTCCATAGCCACATACATACAGTATACAGTACAGGGTCACGGAAGTTCAGAGCACAAGGCAGGGACACCGTGGACAGGATGCCAGTCTCCTGTACACAATGTTCTCAGTGTGATGTGGAGAGCTTATGCAAACGAACATGCACCTGTGTTGTTCAAATGAAATTAAATTTGGCTGATAGAGATGCTTTCACGACCAGGCCATAGAAAAAAGAAAGATTTTCACTATTCTAATTATGATAGTGTGAAATGTTTATTTAAAGCTGAATAACATCACATACATCTTTTATAAAGGTTATCTGGGATTAAATGAACTCTTAGGGCTGAAATGGACAATATCAAAGGTGTAATACCAAAGCATTTATGTCATTACAGATTTACAACTGAATAGTTCAAACAGATCCTGGCCATGCTGAAGTCAGACTATTACTTACGCAGCACAAAGTCTATGAAAAAATGCATAATTGCTGAAGGACAATGAAGTGCTTATATATGTGAGTGAATGAATGAAAAAATAAAAGCAAAAAACCATTAAGTTAGTTGGATAGTATAAGTTTAGTATTTGCATTTAAAGGCTATACATTTAAAAAACACCAGCCTATGTTGTAATTTGTCTGTCATATGCTCCAATCAATCAGCCTCTGGAGCCAGAATCCAGTCCGTATCTTCCACCAAACTCTTTCTCAGGATCACATTATCTGTTACCTGAACATATTTGCAGGTTGTTTCCATATAATGTGAAGTATTACCATTTTCTCCAAACTCAGTCCAAGTTATCATATTCCTGACATCGAATTTCCCGACGCGGCTTTATGGTTTGCCATTTGGATTTCGTTCTGTTTCTGATACGGTGTCGACTTGTGCCCGTTGGCTCTGGTATAAGCTGATATGGGTCGTCCCGCACGTGGAGTCGTGTACCGCAGATTATGTCATTACGCTTCCTCTATTGCTCTCGCATGCTTGCAACAGAAGCCATCCTTAGAATGCTGATAAAGTAATTTAGCTGAAGAGTATGCAAAGTGAAGACTGCGCTTTTAATTTAGAACATGATAGATTACACTGTTATATGATAAATGAAACGTGTCACAAAAGATAGAACGATAGAGGGCAATGGTCTTAATGAAGAGACTTCAGAGACTCCCCGGCTTCTCGGTGTGTGGTGTTGGGAGATCACTGGCTGATATTGACTGGAGATTCTTTGTGGAACATGGCCTCATGCTGAACCTGCAAGTTAAGGATTTATGTGACATCAGAGACGACTTGTTACTTAAGGAAATGAATGGGACTAATCGATTTACTATCTCAGTAGACGGATGGCTCTGATGATCCGTCCAGGTGAGGCGTCCGTCTTTAATGCCGGAAGACAGAGGGGATTTGAAATGAATGTAACACCACTTGGCTGATTCCTCATCCAGTGAGCCACACAATTTGGCCTGAGATCTCGTTTCTGTAACCCAGACAACGGAGAGTCCGTGGGACAGCGGGGGAGTTGGACAGGACCTAATCTGCTGTTACTCTTTTTCTTTACTGTAAAGAAAAAAGGGACATTTTGGTCAGGAACTAGGGAGGCGAAGACTATACAGAGTGAGCTGGAGAGGTGGCTTTGTAAGGGGCGGGGGGCGGAGTCACAAGAAAAAGCTGCCTGGGAATTTGCCGTGAACGGGGGGGGGGGGTCCATGTTGGTCACCCTTATACATTTTCCATTAATCATCTCCTGTGGTCGACATCGTCTGATGGCTTATGCACCCCTCATATACAGCATAGGAATAATGCCAGGGTTAGGGGAGAAGGAATGGTCCTGACATGACTGGCTTCCTGGGAAACTTCCCCAACTTCCCGATGGCATTTACAGTAGTGCCCCCTTTTGGCGGGGGATATGTTCCAAGACCCCCTGCGGGTGGGGGAAACCACAGATCGTACCAAACCCTCTATATACTGTGTTTTCTCCTATACATACATATGTATGATAAAGTTTAACATCTAAATTAGGCACAAAAAAAGATTAACAACAATGGCCAGTAAAAACAGAACTATATACTGTAATAAATGTTACTTGAACACAAGCACTGCGATATTGTGATGATCAGTCTGATAACTGAGACGGCTGCCATTGCCGCATATTATACTGTACAAATTTTCCATGTTACCCAGCTACCAGCAGGTGGTGCTCATTAGCCGTTTTTCGATGACCATTGCATATTAGCCATCTTACCCACAATCAAAGAAATGTATGATTATTTATGTTGTTTGTTTCATTCCAGCCACTTCCATCTAAATGAAATCACTGAGCTTATTCTCGTTTCCTGTAAGGTGCATAATGAAGCGGTCATTTCCTGTGACTGCTGTGTCCAGGTTAGGGCGACATGAAGCACTCTGACACGTATGGGTCACACGTCTCCGGCTTACTACAGATTTTTCCATTGCAGTAAATGTCATTCTAAATGTCAGGTCAAAAGATCTTGTAAATCTAAGCTACAGAATCGTAACATGTACTGCCATTATCATGGCAATTATTATCATTATGCTTATTATACCACATCTTATGGACTGTCATTATGTTTGAAGATGTTATGTTCATTGTTCATATGCCTGTTTGTACTGTAAATTAATAAAAACCATCTTAAAATGGCCATTGGCTCTTGACTTACGGATGGGCTGTAGCCAAGAGTGTCAGACATCAGGATACTGGCAAATATAATGGGGGAGAGAAAACTTAGCATTAAATAATAATGATTGAAAGACACAGGTACACTGAGAGAGTGACTCACGTACAAGCTTAACCGCACAAAAGTCTGCAGCCGAATGTTTATTAGAGCTATATCATTTTCGGGTAGCGGCTCACCTCAAAGAAGTCCAGCAATGTGTGTCTGACAAATCCTGCGCTGCGTTAGGAAGATAAAAGCCTGGAAAGATGGTGCTAAAACTGACCAATTGCTTCCATCATTTATTTTGTTGAGGCAGCTTGTTTCTGTGGAACAGCAGCTATTATCCTGGAGCAGACAGGAGGGTTTCTGACCCCCCCACCCCACCCCCCCGTAGCAGTAAATAGCACTTAACAGTCTGAGGGGTCTTTATGTGGTGCAGGGTTAGGGGGTAACAGCTTGTTTTGAGTCCTCTGATTTCTGTCTACTCCATACAATCACTCAGGGCTAGTGGCCTATTGTTACATAAGATGGAGCGACAGAGGATATTTGAAGTATAAATTTCTCCCCACTTTAAGTTTTGGTTTGCATAAAAATTTTAGCTACAGCTGGTGTAAACAATTTGCAACAGCACGAAATATTTCTTTTTGTCGGTCTGTTAGGTGTTCATTTGTATGTGTGTGATTCGAATGGGAGACTGAATACAATATGTTTGACCCAACTTGCATTTTGAAAATAATCTTACAACAAGGTGCATAATTTCAAATATTTTATTATGAAAAAAGTATTTTTTTTTTGTAGTAGAGATGCCCCTGTTTGCTCCAGTGATATGGAATAATCATGAGTAGTTTTCAAAGTTAAGGATATTTCAAAAAACATAAATGCATTTAAAGGTTAATATCAGAAAACTATGACAGGCATGCAATCGCAATTAAAATTTTCATTCACATTACCTTTAAACTGTGCATAAAAGGTTTTGAGAAATATATATCTAAAGCTATTCATTGTAATATATTGATGATGGTATTTTTAATGTAATACAATCATAGTTGAATTTTCTCAAAATGTAATCAATCTAAATTAAAATGTAATTAAGTTAGTGACTTCTAGTCCATTAAGACTAGACATTTTCTGACTAAATTTTTACTTTTTACCTCACGCTATTAGACTGGCGGTTTGTGCTTCACAACACAATTAATGAAACACTGGATATTCTTTATCATTAGAAGCAGAGCATTCTTAAGAGATATTGTTCAGGTTTAAGTTACATTCATAACGTAACATCGGAGTCCATACTTACTCAACAATGCCCATAAGGTTTATCTCATTGCTCTCATCTAAAGGATTATATCCACGCTCATCATAACACGGTACGCATCTTTCCCCGGCTACGTCAATCAAGGAGAATTTTACAGAAATGTGTCTAAAATGAGCTTTAGTGCTCAGTGTTCTGTTTACTTGGGGCCCTTGGATGCCCTTGTGCAACAAATTTCTCACTTTTCACGGCTACACTGGCGACAGCAAGATGATTTACTGTCCTCTCAAGTCACATCGTGGATGAGCTGGGGTGTGGGGAGGAGAACATCGCTCTACAGTCCAGAATGAACCATTTTTCATACGTCAAGCTTGCTTCTCGCAGCTTGAACACCCCCAGGAGGCATTCATTGGTATCTCCAAAGGCACAGTTCCTTTGGCGGTATCTATTTGGTGTTGATTGCTTTTCTTTAAGTAGAAGACGCATAAGACACATGAAGTGCTATCAACAGGACACACTGTAGGTGTAATCTGCTCTTCTAGCAGGTCTATGAATTCATACAGAGACATAATCTGCCAACTCATATCAAGCAAAGTTATTTCAAGCAAATCCATTCATTCTCCACCACTGTATTCTGACCTGGTCAGAAGCAGGCCCAGGCTTAACATGACCCACCCAATCATGAGCTAGCCCCACCTTTCATCAACCAGTCACAGAATGTCTTTAATGATTATTGTAACTAGGAGTTATCTTAAGGCTGGTTCATACTTCTCTGCATAAGCACTCTGCATATGCAATCTGAAGCGTTCATAGTTCTCCAGTCAAACCGTGCTCTTTGCACATGTGCACAAACTTTATTCATATTTTTATTAATAATATTATAAATTATTGTTCTGATATCCTCTGTGCACGTACCACAGCAGTGAGATTTGTGTCAGTTTCTCTATGTTTTACAAATTCAGAGAGCCAGCTCACAGGGTTGCCAACTTCGGTCAGCTGACTGGTGTGAGATTTTCAATTCGAGACGATTCTGCACAGACATGCATACACATTTACATGTATGTAACAGTTACAGTACCTTGTAAATAGTCTGTAGGGTTTGCAAACTACCACAATGCTTGTCAAAAGCATCCCTGTTGGTATTTAAAGTGGACTATGTGGTATTTAAAGCTAGCAAATCAATCACATGCAGTGTGTCCAGAGTTGCACGGACACAGATTTGGAGTGCAGCAAGCGTTTGACCGAGGAGGTGCACAATGACGTCAAACGCATCATAAATGTTCGCGTGGACATGTCTGCTAGTACGTGTGCGGAGAGGTATGAACCAGCTTTACACTGAAACACAGCCTCAGGATGATCCAGTGGTCTACCCCAGAGCTGGTGCAGGGCCTGGTTAGAGGAAGTCACATTTCCTAAAACTGAAAGGCAAACAGTCACCACTATCTGGTGCCAAGGACAATGCAGAGTGCATTTCAATACTCTCACATCATGGATAAACCGTCTCTGCATTCAGAAACATTGGCACAATATTAAATAGATAAACTAAAGTCTTTTGCCTTTGCATCAAAAATGAAAGCCCAGGTCCACGTGCACAGACTGGAGCACTGTGTTGGTAGCAGCCGTGGGACTGATCTCTGGGTAATTTCCCAGTGGCTGTTATCTTGTAGACATTGCTGTTGAGAGCTCCATTAAGTTAAATGAGCATCTATGTGTGTGGCAAAGCTGAGAGACTGAATCGGGATCGATCCTCTTTGGGTGGCTCAGGCGGAGCCGTGGTTAAGGACACGACCTCTGCAAGTAGCTACTTCAGACTCTTGCGGGGACTCTGGAGCTTTCCACACAAAAATGCCTAATTATGATGTTCTAAGTGGTGAAGGAAATTGCACTTTCAGAATAACACTTCAGCTCATACAAGTATATACTGCTGGTCCATAGTTCCTCATGAAAGAAAACAGTAGTGATCATACAAATACACTTTCTAATAAACTGAAACCAGGTAGAAGTGAGAATCCCCCATTTAGATCTATGTGCCATTAATAAATCTAGCATGCGATTTAGCTCTAATCGCATTTAAGTAACTGAATTTTCTCGAATTATTAATCTGGTAAAAAATAAACAAACAGATATTTTACATTAATTATAAAAATCTGGCCTGTAAAATTAATTGACAAGAACCTGCATCAGTTCTTGAGATGTTAATGCAAAGGTTTTGCTGCTGGATTCAGCCAAGAATGTCATCATTTTTCTGCCAAGTTACTTGTTCTGACAATGGTGACTGAATGCTAATTCAGTTTTCTATTGTAGCTGAAATCGTCTCACTGCTTTAGTGAAATGGTTGCTAAAAGGTGCCTGGAAAAGGTCAAAGATCGACATACTACTGAAAGTGAGACTGCTGGTGGAGTAAGACAGAGACAGCAACGTGGACACATCATGTTGTGAAGCATCACCACAGCAAACGTGACCCACCCAATCACTGCACTGCATACGCAGTGTCACTGCACCAAACTGTACATTAATGATAAGATATTATACCCGGTTTCGTATCCCTAAGTTATTGTAAATACATCACCAGGGATTAAAAGAAAGGAGTCTAGAAGGAGACCCTTCGTGTTAGTGCTACACCTTCAGATGACTGTGTCATTAGCTGTATCGCTTGTATGCTGGTTACCTGGTTAGGGAGGATAACCTCATGGCCAGTTTGATTAACCTCATTACCTTCTAACGTGTTATTGACTCATTTGTATAAGTGTAAGGGTGTGGGTGAAGGTGATGTTGCCTTTCTGTATTCTTGGTTAAGTCATGTGTAATCAGGAGTAAATGAACAAGAGATAAACTTGACAATCATACGTTCAGGAGGCAAATCTATTCAAATCTTTTCTAAACAGCGTCACGGCTCTGATGATAGTTTCATAGCCGGACACACACAACGCAGCTTTCGTGTTTCTAAATAGACATTATAGTAAAAAAAAAAAAATCAACATTCAAAGTCAGTCGTTTAGTGTATTAAACAGCAAAATTTGTTTTCGTTGTGCAGGCAACTGACACCTTTGAATTATTATTTTAACAAAGTACTTTTTAAAGATAACTAGAGACAAACAGCTGGAAGAAACACTGCAACCTAAAAACAGGCTCCCAATTCAACAGTCTCCAACACTAATGCCAAAATTTAACGTGTCAACAGGTTTAAAAAATTATGAAAAATGAAAGATGTGCATATCTTAGCATATCGAGATGTGATTTGTTCATTTTTTAAATAGTTTATTTAACAAAGCTTTCCTAAAATAGTCTTTTTAAAGAATTGTTGTTCAATTATAAAGTACGTTTTGGTATGTTTCTTCATGCCTGTTATGCTGATTGTGTTGTGATACTTCTAGAAAAATTCCTCATGCCCCCGCGATGGTAACAAAACAGAAACCACACCGGCACCAGCTGTGAAATATTTTTGGGTGTCAAGCTGTGGAAAAAACAGCTGGATCCAACTCACATCTTCACGAAGCTGCATCAGTCATTCTATCGACTTTCTCAGCAAACAACCTCGGCTTGTTGTGTCTTTTGGAGAGACATGGCAGCCTGGATAAATACTCAATAATGAACATTTGAAGTGCAGCTTTACAAAGCAGCGACCATGCTGAACACAGGCCAGCTGAACCTGCATCACATCCACACAGACTCTGGTCCTCTCTTCAGGCTTCCCTTTAATCCAGTCCTCAATCCAGACGGTCTAGCAGGTTTCCGTGGTATAAACCAGAGGCGCCCAGGTATCCTGACCTCCTGATGCCTCCTTCTCTCGTACTTTTCAAGCCGCAGTTAAGGAACAAGAGGGACACGTAATGTTTCATTAAAATATCTGATTAACAAAATTATGTTTGCCTTGTTTATTCATGCATGGGGAAAAAAGTAGCTTCTTTTGACATTTAAGGCACAAGTGTTATTCCTTAGGTAAAATGCTGAGATTACACCCAAGCAAAGGTCCCAGCCTTGTGGTTAAATCATCCTGCTTGTGACACTGGACAGACTCACTGGCTGCTCGAAGGCATCAAATAACCTCATTGACTTCTTTACATTAATGGGCATCGATACTTTTGATTACAGGAGATTTCGTTATTTTCCTCCATGGTGCCGTTGTGTGGAGTAACTACTTCGGGTTCATCTTTGATGATACAGTTGCGTGGCTCCCCCGACTTGATGCAAACGGGGACCTCGGGGCGAGTGCGCGTTCACTTGACACGCTCGATGATAGCTATCTCCGCGCGGTTGGCGAAATCGGGGGTAAGGCCGTTCAGGTAGAGGCTGCCGTTCTTGGTGAGCGCGGGGAGCTCACGCTCCCGATCATGTTCCTCGACGAAGTTTACGGAGAGGGTCCGCTTGCCCGGTGTCATCTCCTGGCCTGGCCCGAGGCCTAGCTCGGCGGACAGCTTGCGCTTAATGGAGGCTGCCCGTTGGAACTTGTCGTAGATGTCCACACTGAGGCGCCGGCGCGTCTCCTTGAACTCAGCTGACACGTTCGCTGTCCACTCGGCTGCATGCGCCCGGAACTCACCCACCTTGGAGAGAAAAACAACGTGGCACACAATTGAATAAAAGAAAATGGTTACCTATTTAATGGCATTTCTCTACGTATTCTCTACATTTAAAAAAAAATTATAGACATCAAAACTATAAAATAACATATATAGAATGATGCACTGGTGAAAAAAATAAAAAATTGTTTGATAGGGGGGCAGCTCTGCAGGTCGGGTGTCAGAAGGTTGCCGGTTCAAATCCCGTAGCTGGAGGAGTGATCCTACCATTGGGCCCCTGAGCAAGGCCCTTAACCCCAATTACTCCAGGGACTGGCTGTCCCTACTGTCTCCTCTATGCCAGTCTAATAAGGTGGCCTCCTGAGATGCTTTTCCAGCTGTCCTGAAGGAGGTCCCACATATATGCTGAGCTCTCATTGGCTGCTATTCCTTCACTGTGTGGTCAAACTCCTTCAAAACCATTTCTGCTGTGTTTAGGTCAGGGGCCCCTGAAGCATTAAGGGCTCAAGGGCCCAATGGTAATATGACTATTCTGCTAAGCACAGACTCAAAGTGGCGCTTTTCCAATCACAGACACTGAGGCCTAACCCACCAATCCTGGTAATATTTACTAATTATTTTTAATCTTGTACACTTTCCTAATTTCCAAGCTAACAGAATTAGAGATAATTCACCATACAAGCAATTCCATGTGATGATATGTGATGCACTTTCCTTGTTTGGTCGGCCCACATCATCATCATCCATTCTGGCGCAAAGAGAAATAGCCCCATATCCCTTCTGAAGCTCAGCCCAACGCAAACCACATATGACAGCAGAGGGACGAAGAAAGCACTCTCTTCAGCTGTCAGAGCCCAATGATGAGAGAACGGGGGGGTAAACCTCCCGAATGCTTGTGCTTTTTGCGATCGGTGGGCTTATATGGAAAAAAAAAAAAAATCTGTGAATCTTGTCCAGCCATTTGTCTGATTGAAAACTTCCTGTACAAATTTTATGCCTTCTTCCTTAAATCACCACTACTCACAGATTTGGTTTAACAGGACAAATTAAAATTGAAATTAAATTGAAATTCATATATGGCCATTAACATTATGCTTTATTATTCTGGTAAATCATATATATTCCATCTCCTGAAAAGACTTATCATCTCCTGCGTGAGTCATTTTGCATATTCACAGGGTAATGCAGAGCTTTTATTTCAGATGTGACTGTCCTCAGCTTCTTATGTTGATCTTTGCACTGTGCTAATGGAGAATCTGACCACCTCCCCAGTCTCAGTGGGCCAGCCGGATTGAGAGCAAATAAATATTAAAGCTAATGTAGCAAAGGTAGCAACACATTGACACTGTTAAAATGCTAAATGCTCAGCTCTAGCGCTTTTTTTCCATTCCCATTCTAAATAAATGTAACCTTTCTACTAAAGTCTTCACACAAAGCATTCATTGCGGCTGTGGTAAGATTTTTACTTTTAAAAAGTGCATCAAGTGACTTCCGACCATCTGTTTTATTGCTCAAAGCCCTTACAAAAATTAACACATCCTGAGGAAGGATGTGTGAAGGGGCAGTAATTAAAATAGATCAGAGGAACCCATTTCACTGGCTTTCCTAGTTTATGTAATTTTCTCACGACTGTATACTATACAGTAATGTTGAAAGAATTGAATTGTACTATATAATTTATATCCATCCATCCATCCATCCATCCATTCATCCATCTTTGCTCAACCCTTTCTCTGGTACAGGGTTGTGGGAAGTCAGAAGCTTATTCTGGGAAGCACAGAGCACAAGGCAGGGGTACACCCTGCACAGGATGCCAGTCCATCACAAGGCACACACACAATGGGCAATTTAGAGACACAAATTCAGCTGGCTGCATATTTTTGGACTGTGAGAGGAAGCTGGGGTAGCTGAAGGGGACACGTGCAGAAACTGAGGAGAACATGCCTGTGCAACTCATCAATCAACCGCCCCGAGAGCAGGCCAGAGTATCGGAGAAATCCTGACAAAGCAGCCTGTGATTAAACATTTACAAACCAAGAAATGCCCAGGGTCATAAAGCCTGGCTAATTCACAGACCAAATGCACTCTTACATTCAACTATAAACCCAGTAAATACATTGAACTTAATCTTAGTCTTCTCACAGAAATTGAGAAATGTGTAAATCCAAACAATTAAATAAGGATGAGTCATTGAATATTGATGTTAGTTAGAGAATGAAAATGATTTAGGTAAATATGATCAAATCCCACAGAAGATAGCATACCTCCTCTTTCGTTTTCTTTGATATGACCCGGAACCAATCTCCTATCATACTCAGCACAGCTGCGAAGTAAGCCAGGCCCACCAGGATCCAGAACCACACAATGGGCTTGTAGTAATGCTCGTACTCAATTTCAGAGCCACCTGCAGACAGAAAATGAGTAAAATTAGCTTTCAGATCTTGGGTCATAGTGTCACAAACATAGTCAGTACAGTTATAAGGTAACCATCTCCATTCTGGCTGTCACTGGACAACGACATTGTAGCTGCGTGTGAGAATCACAGTTTGTCATCAGTGCGGTTCCTGGTTAATTTTGGGATTATCTATGGCGTCAAATCTCGACTCAACCTGCCAGTTAATCTCAGGTAAACCAAGTTATCATGGCTCATGTTTGCCCTCCGATTTTGCCCAAGTTTTATTTAATCACTCTTACAGAAACCATAACACATTTCATACTGCTGAAGAGGGATGGAACTAAGAGCTACAAAATATGGCCAAGAAAAAGTCTGTAACAGTGTCGAGTTTACCTGCAACAAAGTCCCCAAATCCAATGGTCGTTAAAGTGATGACCACAAAATAGATGGATTCCAAAGTGCTCCATCTCTCAATTTGTTTGAAAATCACAGCAGGGATGGTCACAAAGAGCAGGCAGCCGAACAGGATGAAGAGGACTGTGGACGTCACGCGAATTTTGGTCTGGCTCACATTCCACTTCTGGGAAACGTGGGAACAGAGGATCAGCATGTCACTAGTCCGGCTCATTTCGTAAATGACCACAACAGCCAGACACACAACTATAGGTAGTACAAGGAAATTGTACACCCCCGTCTGCTGTCAACCATTTGACTTAATAAAATAAGAGAAACTTTATTGATCCCAAGGGGACATTCTTATTTTCTATTTCAAGTATAGCTAATGTGATAGTTTGATATGCCGAGGCTTTGTGTTACAAAAGCAGAAAGTGGCTCACAAGCCACACCAAGATTTATTAATGCAAATTATGCAGAAGTTCTTATAATATTCAGGGTGTCGTACGCGGAGCAGGCACGGGGCAGGGAAGCAGGCGAAGGGAGTCGTGGAGTCGGGTAAATGAGGGATTTATTAGGAGTCGACACGATCAGGAACACAGGGAACACTAGTAACATTAAGATGTCAAGACATTAATGACCGGACTGGGGAAACATGCAGACTTAAATACACAACAGCAATTAACAAGACTAGAAACAGCTGGTAACACTGGGATTCCACACGGGGTAGATGAGGGGGTGTGGCACACATGAGGATCGGCATTATCGGGGGATGACACAGGGATTGCTGGATTTGACTATTTCTTGCTTAATTTTTTAATTCTTGGTTTAATTCTCAAGGTTTCTTCCTGCTAGAGGGAGTTTTTCTTTGCCACTGTCGCCTCAGGCTTGCTTGGTGGGGGTTTGGGCCGGTTACATGTAAAAATGCTTTGTTAACATGACTGTTGTTAAAAGCGCTATATAAATAAAATTGAATAGAATTAAGCTCTGCCACTTAATTTAGTATGAGTTTTATTGCACATACCCGTTATTTTAATCTGCTGCATACGCTGCCAATACCCAAGTTTTGGCTGAATTTTTTCAGAAAAATGGGATAAGGTCCTTCTACACCCACTGAAGCACTTTAATAACAGCCCACCCTAACAATACAGCGAATGTTATAACTTTACAAAGAGCATCTGATGCTAACTGGCACAACCAACACGTGCTGAATTGAAATAATAAAGCTCCTTTCATCAACAGAGGATTCCAGAACCTACATTCAATTCAGTTAATATAGTGGTCGAGGGCATTGATTCATAAGCCAAAGTTTGATGTCTCAGTTCACAGTAGGAGCTGAGTGATACTCGCTTTCAGTAATATAATCAACCCCAAAAGCCCTTGTGAGGCTTCCAGTGGTTTAAATGAATAACAAACCTCTTTGGATAAAAGCATCATTTAAGATTGTAAATGAGACGTGACCTGAACTGAACTGTAATGCAACACCCACAAACTTAAAGAACATTGTTAAATGAAATATTTAATGAATAATAAGAGCATTTTTATGGGAAGCGGTGAAAGTTCTTTTTAATGTATTGATCCACTGTCTACTGTGTGACAAAATACATTAGTTTGGTGGCTCTCAGTTGACTGCCTGTGATTAAGGTTGTCAGTATTGTAGCTTTTCACTACCAAATAGAACAAACATCTTTAAACGCTTTACTAACGACTGTTGTTGGCCACAGACATGCCTTACAAATCCGAACATTTTTACGTCAAGCTGAAGAGCTCATCGAGAGAGGGAGAGAGTGAAAGGAGTCTGCTGAACTCCCTCTTAAACAGCCCCCTCAGTGGTGCTTGCCCCCAGGTTCTGGGTCCTAGGCTGGGTACACGCCAAGCCGATGGCACAAAACTAGTGCCACCCAAGGTGGACAAATGATCGCCTCCCAGGGGCTCCAGATGACTGTGAAAATGTGCGCTGATACACAGTGACACCGCTAGTGGTGATGCTTGACATGCAGCCCAAACAAGAGTTACATTTCATCAACTAGCTTTAACGCCAATTCAAGAATCGGCCAAAACAGCAGCAGCTGTCTCAGGCAGAGCTGCCCGCAGTGACGTGACGGGCAGGCACCCGACTGCCTGACAGCTGAAAATCGACTTGATGCGTAACAGGCTTTGCGGTCCCGAAAACCATTCTGCCTTACAGAGTGTCCCCAAGATCGGCAACAGCAAAAAGAAATAAGTCACAAGGAAACTCCACCCCCCTCCCAAGACTGGGGGGATGTTGTTAGTTGTTGTCTGCAAAATCAGCTCTTGCTTTTTCATGCAGAACTGCTTGATTTATTGTCCAGTTATGGATGGGGGAGGGGGGCCGTACTCACCACAAAGATTTTCTCCACTTTGACGATCCCTTTGCCGAAAATGGTCCCGAGTTGATCCCCAACTCCGGCCAGCAGGAAGCCAAACAGGGGGATCCCAAGCAGGGCATAGATGATGCAGAACGCCCTCCCGCCTTCGGTGTGGGGGGAGATGTTCCCAAAACCTGAGGCAGCAGTGATGCAGCCAATCAGAGCTGGGTGGCGCTTTCAACCGCACACATTACACATCATTCAATGTGGAAGCTATTGCTCGCTGACACCTAGTCACCCACTGACTGGAGACCTGCAAATAGGTGGGGCCGTGACCTGCATCCCATGCTGAAACACTCCCTTCCCTTGAGTGGTTCTCTGCTGCTCGTACAGACTCAGAAGCCCTTTGCCACTGACTGGACCACAACTGAGCCCTAGTGACGAATCCCGAAGCTCTCAGACACTCAGGCGTGTCCAGGAATGGCTGTGACCATGGCTGTTCACTGCTGCTATTGGCTGCTTGTCGGGAGTAAAAACTCTCAGATTCGCTGAGATGATGCTACATAAAAAAAATGCGTCACAGGCAGGGCACTAAAAAATGTGACACGCTACTAAGTATATTCTAAATCATAGATATATATTTTTAATAAAAGGTATAATAAGCATGGATTCAATTCTGAGAATTACTCAGATTCTCGCACATTTATTTAGTAAAGTGAAAACAGGACAATATTACACATATATACTGTACATAGTTAAAATCCTTATCTGAATAAGCTAGTTAATCAGAAATGTCTACTTAAGCACAGAGATTCAATGCTTTCAATGCACCACTAATGCTGTTACTCTCCCAGATTACCAATTAGTGATGCCAAGATTTGAATAGCTTCTTAAGATGCTGAAGTACAGACACATTTTGCATGTAAATATTGTTGTGCAGGGCTAGTGCATATCTTTGGATGAACTATTGTGTTCGCCAATGCGATTCACGATCCATATCAAATTCACATTGACAGGCCAACTGCCTGTGTAAATCCCATTTAGAGAATACCCATAATGCTCTGAATCTGAATCTCAGACAGTGGAGGAGTCTAGCCGTACACTTTCATGTGTTTGCAACCATGAACTGACTGACAGAGCACTCTATTTGTTACATAATCGCAAACCAGTGCTAACCCGTGTTTTTTTTTTTTTTAAATCTCCAGTAAGCCATAAGGAAGACGTACATGGGCAAAGAACACATGAGCCTACAGTATGTTTCTGCTCTCCAGTCCCTGAAGAGCGCTTCTTCATGATTACACATTATTATGACATGCCTTTTTCTCTCTTTAGAAATCCAATTTTCTGTTTTGTAAAAAGAATTTTGTGGCATATTACATTCCACAAATTGTCTTCAAATGTCTGTTAAATGTAAAACCATTTAAAAAAGTACTCTATATTGCCTGTGGATACATTCTGTTTCCTCTGAAGATGACATACAACTTCTGATTTGATATAAGTGAAATTCAACAAAACAGCCTGTCCACGAGAAGCCGGCAGTGCAGTAATAACTTCACAGCAACGCTCGCTGTTCCTGAGCCAATAAGTGTGAAGTACAGGCCACTAACTCCCTGCCCTATCGCCCCCCCCCCCCGCACCGGAACAGCCCTCAAGCACCTCCTCCAGGTCCACACACAGGCAAATCATTTTTTATTTATAAAAAAATATATTTATTTTTTATTTATATAGGGCCAAAAATAGTCTCAATACTTCTCAACCCATGGGTCACGATCCAAATTTGGGTCACAGCAAGTTCTGAATGGGTCGTGAGGCAGTGCTGGAAATTCAAGCATTTTAAAACCAGCAAGCTCCTATGTGGATCCATGATCAGATTTCCCAGCTCCAATGCTAGAATTAACCTATATAAATGGGTCTTGGGTCTGCAACTGCTTAGTGCAAAACTAGTGAGCACTCAACCAATCCACAAAGCCAAACCACAGATGCTTAATTCAAAATTCACTTGCACATCCAATCAGATTTGTGCAACAGGCATTGACTGGCATAAAATGCAGAGTGCACTGCGTGCTTGATCATAGTGTCCATTTAAACCTATACTTGATACAGGGTCGCGACTGAGCTGGCATGGTGAGAATTGGGTCACAGTGCTAAAAAGGTTTGCGGTCCCCTCCAGTTCCAGTATTGGAGCCACACCTTGAGTTTGGCTATTAATAGCAGCCTGATTTAAAAGGCTGCGTTCCTGTGGGGTAAAGGCAAGCCTGGTGGCTTGGTACAGGTGCCTGGAGAGTCAAAACTGAGCCAGAAGCACCATATCCCATGGGACAGAGGAGCTGGAGCTGCCCATCTGTTCGTGGCGGGAGCATGGAGCACGACCGATCACCCGCAGTGCTCTTCAGCAAGTCGAAATTGAACCGTGACTAAGGGACGTTGGTTCAGTCGCAAGGGTAATTTGGGTCTGCTGTAAACGGCACGAGACGACCGTAAGGCACAGGGCATTGGGAAACCAATCCTGCAAGAGATGCTCTGATCTGTGGAGGACACCTGAGGTGCAATCTGCCGCCCCCTACAGTAGACAGTGAGCGTTCGAGGGCAGGCCGACATTAAGGTTCCAGCTGATGGACTTTCGGAGGCACCGAAAACAGCCTCAATTAGCAGTGAACATTTTGCAGCCTCATTACCGCCATAATTTATCTTGATGAAGTCTGTCTGCGGAGAAGATAAATTGAATCAAACAGCCCCTGGAACATGAGTCATCAAAATGATTACATCCAATCGTCTGACTGAGACGTTGCTCTCGATGTAAGTGTGCAGGACCTCGTACAGCGGCAAATACAATCTCATATCCCACAATAAACACTTTTTTTAAATAAGATTTTTATTTGGGCACTAAAATAATGTGGCCAATGTTTTCACCTTAAGCTCAAAACAATTAATTTAGTAAATTAGTTTAAGTTGAACCAAGGATGACGCATGGGAACTAATTATGCTAATTTTCAGCCAGAGCCTCAGCAGTTTACTAAGGTTAAGTCGTTACGTATGGAAATAAGTTGAACCTGGGGAGTTTTAGTGCATCTGAGCTGGGAATTATAGCTGCTATTTTAATGTATAAAGTACTGTACTAGTTAGCAAACAGGCTGTTGCAGTTTGCCCTGCATATTATACATACCTTAGAATAATTAGCAGACATACTATAACCAAAGCAAAAGCACACTGTGCTGGGAGCAGGACCAGAAACAAAAACTGGAGGATCGGATTACGGTTTTGTTGTGGGTTTAACAAATCAGCGTAGGGAGGAACAAAAGCAAAGGCAGTGATTTGGACGTACAGTAAGTAGGAGGGGGCAACCAGGACACAGAAACGGCATCTGAGAGTTGGGTCTGTGTTTGTGCAAATTATAAAAGTCTGTCGAAAAAACAAGTGAGATGACTTGGCCCCCCCCCCCCCTGGACGTCCCCAGCCCCCACCTTTCACGAGCTTTTTGACTTGCGCCACCATGCGCTCATCGTACACCCATCTTGTATATTTCCTCGGGCTTGGCACAATAAATCGAAGATGGGAACATCAGGGAGGCATTTTTTAAAAACTGCACAGGGAGAACTTTAGCAGTTAAGGTAATTGAGTCTGATCACGCACAACGAGGTGTGAAGTTCTTCACGCAGTGCCGACGATCCCCATTTTGGTTAATTTCATGCAACACTCCGACTGGCTGGTCAGCATGACAGGGCCATGAACGAGCCTCCTCCCTTCTACGACCGGGGGCCCCCGTTCTTGCAGGCCTGCCGTCCAATTACCAATTGATCAGCGAATGAATGCTTGAAGGAGGTTCGGCCTTCCATCCTTCAGGTGATTTGTATAATTAAGCTAAGAGAGAGAAAAACAGCCTCAAAGTCACCAAGGCCATGTGAGCAACGATTTCAGAACGCTTTCAACACGGGATGAGCAGAAATAGCATGTATGTTTTGAGGTATATGCTGCTATGTTTTAGTATATGTAATAATGGTATTAATATCATTTATTAATACCATTATAAATGTAAACTGTTTGGCAAAAAATCAAAAAGGTTTAGCCTAATTTTTGTATAAATAAAGTCCTCAACAGCTTCTTTCCCCAACAAGATATCTCCAGTCATGCAGGTCAAATCCTTGCATATGTAATTATGATTCTCTTATTGCACACTAAACAGTTTATATATAATCATGCAAACAGGCCAGCTGTGCTTGTTTGTTTCTATATAAATTGAATTAGAATGGGGAATCCTAGTTTTCACTGTGGTGGACTGGCATTGTTTCCATCGTCCTGTGCTTCCTGTGATGGGTTCCAGTTTAAATGCAGCCCTCTATCCTTATACTGAATAGTCATTTGGATGAAACTGAAACTTATTGATATTGTTGGTGAATCCATCTGTCAAGCTAGGCGGCCTCATGAAGGGGTAACGGCCCCAGGACGTCTTACCGATTGTGGTGATGACGGTGCCGGCGAAGAAGAAGGAGCTGCTGAGGTCCCACAGACTCGTCTGATTGGACGCCGAGGGGTTGACCCCCGTCCGGATGGCTAACACCACTTGCTGCAGACATAAGTCAGCATACAGCTGGTTACCCTGAGCGTGTCACTGGCCGGCATTTAGCAGATGCTTTAATCCAAAGCAACGTTCACTTGAGAAAGCAGAGTCAGCCAATCATAGGAGTACTTGGGGGTTAAGGGCGCTGTTCAGGGGGCTCCATTGGTGAAATCACTCTGCCGACCTCAGAATTTAAACTGGCAACCTTCTGATCGGCACAGTGGTGCAGTGGTTAGCGCTGTTGTCTCACACCTCTGGGACCAGGGTTTGAGTCTCCATCATGGCTCCATGTGTGTGGAGTTTGCATGTTCTCACTGTGTCCTTATGGTGTTTCCTCTGGGGCTCCCCATAGGTGTGTGGGAATGGTGTGTGAGTGTGCCCTGCCATGGGTTAGTGCCCTGCAATGGGCTGGTGCCCTGTGGTGGGTTAGTGCCCTGCCTTGGGTTAGTGCCCTGCCATGGGTTGGCGCCCCATGGTGTGTGAGTGTGCTCTGCGATGGGTTGACACCCTGGCTGTTCTCTGCCTTGCACACCTATAGCTTCTGGACCCTGAATAGGATAAGTGGCTGCAGAAAATGCATGGATGGATCTTCTGATCACATGCACCCACAGAGCCTCACACTGCCCCCAAAAAGCAACACGGCCTTAAACCCATGTCCTTCAGGGATACAACAATGATTGCTAGATAATAGTTCATTCTATTTATAACTATAATATTATAAATGCTAATTCAGGTTAAACACAAATATTATCCATGCCTGTTCAGATAAACAAAAACAGAAGGTAATTTCCACATTAACACATTTCCTGCACTCTATAATCCATTTCAGGTTCCCTTTTAGCTCACAACAGTAAAAGACCATTCACTCCTATAACATCACACCCTTGAGGCTCATTACTGACTGTTCCTGTTCTATACGTCAGGTTTTATTTCCCCTGAATTTCCCAGAAAATGATTTTTGCTGAATCTGCAGTTTACAAATATTGTTATATGTGTTTTGCAATGATGAAACTGTGACTCACAAGATCTGTATGATTATAAATCCAGGGCTCAAGTTGCGATGGAATGCAGGAGGATGGCACCACCCCGTGGAAAAAACTTACAAAAACCATCCACTTTGATAATATAACCCCCCCCCCAGCATCCCCCTAAATTGTTCTGCATAGGTGAAGGTAAATCTATCAGAAGTGGAGATTTCAGGTCCAGAGAGTATAAATCCAGATCAAGATTTTGTTTCAACCAACCAGTACTCTGTGACTGTGTCTCTTTATACTCAACTGGATGGTTGAAACAAAATCTTGGTCTGGATTTATACTCTCTGGACCTGAAATCTCTACCTCTGAAATCTACCAACTATATGAGGGCAGATTCCTATCCGAAACACGACTTAATCCGGGCTGCTGATGTGTTCCATCCTCTGTTGGTTTGACTTAAGGTTAAAAGAAAATTTGCATATGAAAGTCCAGGCTTCCACGAAAAAAATCTCCTTCTGCTGTCAGTGTGAAATAAAATCTGCAGGTATTTGTTTAATGGTGTTTCCAACAATGCAGGTTAGTGTCATACGATGATGCAACCACAGTACTGCTTAAAGAAGTATAGAACACAGATCAGCCATAACATTAAAGTATAGAAGTATAGTACGCAGATCAGCCATAACATTAAAGTATAGAAGTATAGTACACAGATCAGCCATAACATTAAAACCACTCTCAGATGACGTGAATGACATTGATTATTTTGTCACAACAATACACATGTAGGGTGCCATTATATATTAGGCAAGTGAACAGTCAGTTCTTGAAGCTGATGTACTGGAAGCAGGAAGAATGGGCAAACTTAAGGATTAGAGCAACGTTGACAAGGGCCAAATTGTCATGGCTAAATGACTTGGTCAGAGCATCTCCAAAACGCCAGGTCTTGTGGGGTGGCCCTGGCAAGCACGGGCCAGTACCTGCCAAAATGGGTCAAAGAAAAGCTAGGAAAACTTTGGACCTGGCATTCATGTGGATGTAACTTTGACACGTACTGTACAGTATCACCTACCTAAACATTGCAAACCAAATGCACCCCTTCATAGGACTGGTTTTCCCCGATACCAGTAGCCTCTTTCAGCAGAATAATACGTCCTGCCACACTACAAAAAATGGTCGGAATGGTTTGAGGAACATGAGAAAGAGATCAAGGTGTTGACTTGGCCTCTAAATTCCCCAGATCAATCTGAGCATCTGTGGGACGTGCTGGACAAACAAGTCAGATCCATGGAGGCTCCACCTCGCAACTTCCAGGAATTAAGGGATCTGCTGCTAACGCCTTAGTGCCAGATACCACAGGACACCTTGTGGAGTCCATAGATCGGCAGGTCAGAGCTGTTGTGGCAGTATGAGTGGAACCTGCAGAATATTAGGCAGGTGGTTTTAATGTTATGGCTGATTGGTGTAAATGTGTATTTCTGAGCCTTAGATATTAAGTTGCCTGGGGAATCTTTATTCAGGGGCCAACGGGGAATCTAAAAATTGAATTAATTAAACTATGATTTTATGTAATTATCATAACTACTTCACATTGAATATTTAAATCTGTTCGTCATCATTAGCATGTCGTTAGCATAAAATTGGAACCAGGAAAATGCCTTAATGAAAGTGAATTTTAACCAATATATTAAGATTAATTTTCAAAAAAAGTGATGAGATCTTTTCTCTGATATTTTGATGAAAGCCTCACCACTACTGTGAAAAGTTTCAAGAAATTAAAAAAGAAAAACACAACACACGTGAAATTCCCTTTGGAAGGAAAGCCCTTTTGGGAACTGAAAATAGAGAGCTGTCCATGGTCCTAAGTAACCAGACTTTCATACCTGGTCATTCTTAGTTTGTAATGCTTCCAAAGTAAGGATGCATTATCCTGTCTCAGTAAATACTAGTGAGGCATGATATCAAAATCCATGATGATGGGGACTATCAGTGTAAATCAGCAGCTGATTTTGCTGTTTAACATTGGTTTATATTTGTATATTTTATATTTATTTGGTGACTTACAAGTGAGATAACCTTGGGTTCCGAGGAGGATCAGCCATCACCAGCGGATGGAGCCATTAGCATTAGCGCCTTGGTCAAGGTCCCAACAATTATCCAACTACAAAACTCAAACTTTCAGGACTGTAAGCCTTAACCTGCTAAACTACACACAATCTATCAATTGTTTGATGTTCGTAAAGTCACACAAATCGTAGGTGGCCTTGTTTTGATATGCCTTAGCGATCCCGAAGGAGAAACTTGGTGACATTTTTTTCCCTGATGAAGAAGGAATTCAAACCCACAAGGACAAAGCACAATGCACTGGCGGCCTAGTGCCTAAACCATTGGTCACCTTCTCAGAGCTGTTTGGCTTGAGGTCAACTTTTGTAATGAATTACATTGTGTCATAATCTTATACACCCAAAGGTCAAGCAAGACACGACCAACTAATCCACCTGCTTCCTCTAAAATTCTTTGAAACAGCCACCCGTTGACATTTCAGCAGGTAGCACAACCTTAGACACCTTAAAGATCTCCTGCAGGCAGAAATCCAGACCCAACTCCAATGCATAGACTAAAACCTCGGGTTTCATTTCAGGAATGCAGCGGACTTACATGCATAGCAAACAGGACCAGATTCAGATGGGGAAGCTGCACTCAGCAAAGTTTTAACCTAAATTACTAAAACAACCATATAAATGTGATTCAGTGTTACTGCACACAACCTTAGGCAGTCTGAACAGGAGTTATTAATAGCTATAACAATAACTTGGTTTTTAGGCCAAATTCCTCACAGAACCCTTCAAACTTCGCCAAACAGGTTTCATTATTTATTCTGATATTAAAAAATAGCTCCAAAGCCATTGCATGAACCAGTCATGGGAGTCCATCTCTATTTATCTTCCTGATGGGGACCTCAAACCATGGCTCAGTGGCCAAAATGCTGTCCTTCAGCCAAGAAAGCCTCCAAAACAATGTTACAATGTTCATGCCAGGCAGCCTGTGGCTAAATAAAATCCCAGTGCTTCTCCAATACTGTCGATAAAGGGCACATGAAGGGTTTCATCCCTTTAGGGATCGGGTGGTTTGGTAGATGGCTGAGGAGCAAAAGTAAGCAGGCGTGAAAGAAAGGGTAGTCATGTGATATCCCAGTGGATGGTTATATGCGTATGGAATGTTCTAGACCAGGGGTCTCCAACTCCGGTCCTGGAGAGCTACTACCCAGTCGGTTTTCTATCCTACCCGGCTTCTGATGAGCCACACCTGCTCCTGGTATTTACCTGAGAACAGGTGTGGCTCATCAGAAGCCAGGTAGGATTGAAAACCGACTGGGTAGTAGCTCTCCAGGACCGGAGTTGGAGACCCCTGTTCTAGACTCTAGCACTCAACACTACCCCCCCCCAGCAACTCCAGTCTTGATGGGCCAGTTGGAAGATCCACTGCACCCAACCATGTGAGAATCCAATGGACATATTTCCATCTAAAATCACCTGTCACTTGAAATCACCAATCACCTTTGTCACCTTCGTGTTTAGGATACCGTATGTCAGATCAACCTACTTACACCTCTTGGGAATACTTCATTTTTTGATGTTATATATTTATCTAGAATCTCAGAAAGTTACAGCATTTCTTTTATTTATAGCTCATATTGCTGTCAGGGGTGAAGAGTGTTTGATCATTTGAGTCTGCCGATGTACACAGCACAGAGCTTTTATGTACAAACCATCACCTAGCAACCTAAAAATCTTACCAACCATGCTGTCTGCTTGAATTCTGTATGAAGAGTGTCAAGAAGTTTCACTCAGGAAATTGTTTGCAAATGTCAAGAGCAGGTGTTGTGTCAGAGGGAAAATCACCTTCAGAAAATAAGTAGTTTGTTACCTGCACAAGTTCCTCCAGAGCTGATAAATTGACACAGGAGTGACTGGCGAGGAACTTGAGCTTTGTGGTCTCGATCGCCTCTTTCTGAGCGATCTCATGGGGTTGCTCCAGGGCTTTGAACACGGTGGCCCCGATGATGAGGTAGACCACCACCAGGAGGAAGATGGCCGACACAGTCTTCCACCTCATCACTGTAGTGATGGTGTCCTCTTCGGTGTTTAACACGATGGGTTTGGTGGAGAAGGACAAGCGAGGCTTGGAGTTATGAGCGGCTGTTTTTGGATCCAGAAGATCAGGTGCAGCCACTGGAGAGGGAACAGAACACACCCAGTATTCAGACATCATCCTAGTTAACAGAAAACTTTGAGGAATGCTAAAGTCCAACAAACGCTTAAATGGTCAGTCCAAGGACATTTGTTTGAGATTTAACAGAAAATTTAGTGTTGTCAGATTTTTTTAATTACTATCAGCAGAAACGAGCAGGAATTGCAAAAATATGTACATAAGCAATACATAAACTTAGACTAAGGTTTTTAAAACTGCTTCACATGCAAAGTACATCTCATACGGTTTTGCTGTTTCAATGAGGTTCAAGTTTAGATTGACAGACATGCAGCGAACAGAGAAAGATGCAAATTTCTGTAAAACTCTAAGTAATCTATCATGTGGAACAAATGCGAGTGAAAGGAGATTATGTTAATTTAGCGATTGTCTGTCGTCTTGTCAATGTGTGGCAGTTAAATACAGAATTTAAATTAGAAAGTCTTGCCAAATTACCCCAGGCTAGTGTGATTAGTTTTAACTGAATCGTAGCGCACCTGCTTTTCACATTACGGCGTTGGTCCTTTGGGTGTTAGGGTATAGAGGGCGCTTCTATCACACTCAGCCAAAAAGGCAGTGGGTCAGAATAAAAGAACAGATTGCAATTTCTTTGCCAGAGAGTGTTGCTTTGTCTGTAAGTTTTGCACTCATATCTAGCGAGCAGATGCCATCCCCACCAAGAGTGACATTTGGGAAATATAATTAAACAGACGAAAACTCAACTGCATTGGCAACCGACAGATATGACATACTACCATGAACACCAATGACGAGATAAGACAACAAGCGGTGAAACGTTGAAGATTAACATGAGCTGATTAGCATATTTCAGTGCTAATGATATAAAATATAACCGAAAATAGTAAAATAGATGCTCAAATACTCACATGAAGCATTAAAACGTCGGTATACGTTTAAATGAACAGCATTTAAAAGGAAATTAAATAATTTGACAACAGTCAGACCAAGAAGTTTTGACTTAAATCAAGTTGCTTGAATTCGTTTTCCTAGCCATGCAGTTCATATAGGCTTCTGTTGTGTATAATAATTTAAAAGGACACTTTAAAGATGCATAAAATTGCTCACGTTAGATGAAAAAGTATACATGCCCGTTTCAGACAGCAACCATAGCTTTACTAATAGTGTTACGTGACCTGAGCCGACAGCAGCTTTAAGTGATAATGTAAGCGTTTCGTCTCTAAATGACCATGATCAAATCTACTTCAAAATAACGCGAACAGTCATTCATAGCCTATATTAACCCTTTGCGGATTATTCCGGTTTTATTACTACGGATTTTATTGAATCACAATATTCGTGGTTGAAATAACACCATCCTTATATAATTATAGCCTAAGCATTTGTGCTACTCTGTTTGGTTGGTTTTGAAATCCAGTTTTTCAGCGAAGTCTTGTATTTCACGTTTTACAAGTATGTCGGATGATCGATATAAAGTCTATCGTATCAGTATGCATTAATTGGTCAGAATTCATCTAAATGTTAGATTATACGTATACGTGTTAGAAACAGCTGCATATATATCCTCAGTACACTACAATCCCACGTTAGTGCACAGCAGTGCGCCCCCGATCGTTTATCAAGAGTTGTCTGTTAAACGTTTTTCATATTACTAGGCTATATATTGGGACGACTGTGATTTCCCGAACTGCACGATTACTTCCTAATTCACGTTTTGATAACGTGGCTGTGAACTCTGTACAATATCAACCAATATCCCTGTTCCAATTGATTAATATTATCAAAGTAATATCCATAGTGCATTATGATAGTAGTTATTGTTCCTGGTAATAATAATATAATAATAATAACATCATTTATTATCAATAATTTATTTTCTATTCATGTAAATTCAAAGGTCCTTTCTATTTAAGGTATCAAACAACAACCAATTACTGTTATTCTGAGTAGGGAAACGGTCATATTTTTTGCACTGTGAATAATTGTTGGCTCACTTACTTCTTTTCTACCAAATGTCCGTTGCTTGTTCTTCTTCATCAGCAATTATTTCCCAGATTATATCCGCGATGCCTGTTTTCTTTCTTCTCCTCTCGCCGGCGGCTCCGCTCGATCTGACCGCTTATTCGCACATGGTACAAAGCGATTCCTGCAGCATTTAGTCACAGATTTAGGCTCCTAAACACATGTCGTCTACAAATATTTCTTACAGAATTACACTTGAAACCCGTGGTGGGCAAAACAAGAAAAGACTGGGAAAAAAATGGGAAGAAAATCATTTCTGCATGAATAAAACAATAAAAGAATTACGGCTCTATAAGATGCATTGATATCGAGGAGCAAATTGAGTTCTCACGCCCTAAATCACTAACTGAGGCGGTAAGCTCGATGGAGACCGGTTAAGAAAAAGAGGAGAACATTGTGCTCATCATGAACACCCAAAAGCGCGTTTCCAGCGTGAGAAAACGATATGTTCCTCACATCTGCGCTCCTGCAGACAACGCGATACTCAGACGATGTACTCTCCACATTTCCCCCCTGAAATATCGGTTCGCTTGTGGCCTTAAGTTTCCGATGGTAAAGTTTTTTTATATACAAATCAACAATTCCCTTGGTAATCCAAAGGTTGATAAGGATGTCAATGCACTATTTAACATACCGGCCTTTGAATGCATGGATTTCAAATTATACCAGGGGTACGTTTCAGACCAGTCAACCGAAGGAAATTGTATTAAAGCAATACCAGCCATTTCTGACAACAGACAACATTCACTTTATGCCAGATGCTGAAACTCTGCATGGAATGCAGTTCCATTGTAGTTGTAATACAATTTAGGTTAATGGTGTCTCAGTAGAATACTGAATCTCCTAATGAATCGATATGGACATTGATTATTGTTATATATTAAATGATCACGTAATCAGTGGTTTAAAAAACTAAGGTTGTTCTTAAAAAGTAGATAGTGCATAGTATCTTTGTGTTTTGATTTACTACATCACATATTTGCGGTGTTTAGCTTAGTATACATCATTTATATTTTGGGCCCTTTAAAAAATGCTGACGCCCCCCCCTTGAATCTATCAGATTATCCATGCCAACCTGGTCAGGTGTGTGGGGGGGCTGAACCCTGGCATAGGTCACAAGGTAGGGGTAAACCCTGGATGGGATGTGATAGGATACATTGACTTTTTTTATTAATAAATTAGTTGTGTCCTTTGGAGGTCACTTAAATTGGAGCAGGTGGTGGGGATGAATGAGCACATCTGCATTCAGCTCTGAAACGATATTGATTTCTGAGGGAACTGGGATTGTCCAATATGGCACCTGAAGTGAATGACACCAAAGGAAACGCCGGGAATGGCAGCCGTGTCTTATGGGATTCCTGCTTTTCACTCGTCTCCCTCCCCCTGACCACCCTTTTTAAATGTGTCTCGCTTACTGGTAATGAGCGTGCGCAATCCATCAATCGTTCATTCTTCATCGGAGAATCGAATCACACTGCAGTGCATTGTCTATTTTCAAATAGAATCAAAATGGAATTCTTTGCATTTAGGTGACGGCGTAGAAAAAAAAATTGCTCCTGTAAAATCGTGGGTTATGTATATGACAATTATACTTCTACAAACAAGCAGTAACACTAATCAAAAATATACACTCAGCACCCAATTTATTAGGTGCACCTGTTCATTAATGCAGACAGCCAGCTCATACAAAGAATGAATCATCTTTCTGCAATTGAATACATATATATAGCATGCAGACAGGGTCTAGAGGTGTAGGTACTGTGCAGCTAAGCGTGAGATTGGTGAAATCACCTGATCTAACTGATTCTAATTGTGTTATGATTGTTGGTACCATGTGTTTTGGTTCTAGCATCTCAGAAACAGCCACCCCCTTGTGATTTTCACACACTACAGTGTCTTGAGTTTACAGAGAACAGTGTGTCAAACAAAAAACATCCAGTCAGCAGTAGTTCTGTGGCTGAAAACACATTAATTAGAGAGGTCAGAGGGGAATGGCCGGACTCATTAGAGTCAACAGGAAGACTGCAAGTGCAAAAATAACAGCTCAGTACAATGTGGTGTGTAGAAGGGCAGCTTTGAATGCTCCACCCCTCAACACATGAAGTTTTCCTGGATATGCTATTAGAAAAGAAAGCCAATTATTTAATATTTCTATCCATACATAATTCATTGCAGTTGATCCAGTTATAATGCACAATTCTTTGGAAGCACAAATTGAGAGTTGGTCTGTAAAGATGATTTTCACTGTGCAGTTTCACCAGGCATATCTATGCAATTTCAATTGGCAAGTCTTTTTTTAAATTAGATTGAATTAATTAAGGTACAGTGGGGGTGGCTTCTTTATACATTTTCCAAATTTCACTTTCGGCTATGTGATCCTATTAGTGGGGCATCTGGCTGAGGAATTTGAATTTTTGATGGTAGGTAAGGACCCTAGGGTTTGCTATATTTGAATTACGCTTTAATTCTTTAATTCTTAACAGCGCAAAAAACAAAGTACTTCAGTGTTCCAATCCAGCATCATGTAGCATGTGACGGATGTAGACTTCAAAACAGTTTTCACTTATTTAATGTAAGACAAAGTGCGGGACATGGTGGCCTTATTTTTTGAAATGTTCCTAATCCTTAAACAAACCATTTCCATGATAATTAACTGCGGTAAATCCTAATCCTGGAAATAAAATCTTACCAAAAAACTTTCCAGTACTGAGTAAAGCAGTGGAAAATGACATAGGATTCGTTCCAAACTACGCCCAGTCATCAGATTCCTTATACACCTTCAGGAAAGCCTGATACCACGCCGTGTTCCCTGAATGTTCTGATGCACTTGTTGCTGAGTTGTCTCATTAACTTCTTGCTTTGTCTTTGAAGTTGTCGTGCAGCTGTTTCTAAGATACTGGCTTACATTTGTACCTGGGCGTTCACTGGAAGCTCATCCTGGCCACACTTATGCCTAGTCGACATGTTTATAATGTGCTGTTTGCTTCATTTGTACAGTATGTCGCATTGGACAAAAAAGTCTGCTTAATAAAAGTACAGGTAAATGTAAAGTATATAAGTAATATATCATTTTTGTGAGTAATATATCATTTTTGTGAGTAATATATCATTTTTGTGAGCTCTCTTTTTATTGTGTTGCTACATGCCAAGAGTAACGTTTAATTTAATGTACTTCCAGCTTCAGACAAAATTGTAATGGCGCCTTTCCAGTGACAGAAAGGTCAGAACTGTTGGATGTGGTCCACCAATTGCCTTTCTGACGCTAATTATTTCTTCAAATATGTAATTTGGCAGTCTCACTTCATCGCTTTTGACCTGCCATCCCGTGTACAGGCTGTCCTCTCTGCAGCCACCATGGGGGGAAGGGGTCTGCATGTCAGGAAGGGGTCCGCATGTCAGGAAGGGGTCCGCATGTCAGGAAGGGATCCGCATGTCAGGAAGGGGTCCGCATGTCGGGAAGGGGTCCGCATGTCGGGAAGGGGTCCGCATGCCGGGAAGGGGTCCGCATGTCGGGAAGGGGTCCGCATGTCAGGAAGGGGTCCGCATGTCAGGAAGGGGTCCGCATGCCGGGAAGGGGTCCGCTCTGGCAGACTGTTTGCCAAATCCTTTGTCTCTGTGTCCTACAATGTGAGACTAAAGCAAGTTCGGCATTGGAGATGAAAATTATTGAATTACGGTGCTGAGGCAGTTGATGTTGTACCTTCTAGGGCTCAGTACGACCTGGTATGGTCTAATTGTTTGATCATGAGCAATGGACCTATGAAATCATTTACCCATTAGTGTACATCATACCCATTAGTGTGGATTAGTATTGAATATATGAGGATTTTGGACATTACAGTAACCCTTGGTTGGATAATGCATAATATATTATATTTTTAGATTTTATTTTGTAACCAAATAAGAAGAAAACAAATTAAGCAAATGTTCTCTTTAGGTGTTTTTATCTGATTGAAAAAGAACTAAACCAGATATCCATCTATCTCGACCGGTATCCATCCTCTGCAGGCACATGTGGGGGGGGGGGGCTGGAGATGGCTGAACGCGTGGCCCTTTCACCCCCCCTTTGAAGGTACTGAATGCACTTTTTTGTGCTATTCACTTATGGGTGCCCATGATCACCGACTTAGTAAATCCCTCCCCCCCCCTCCCCCACTCCTGGTCGATAACTTCCACTGTTGAGCGCCTGTCCCTCAAAAAGATGATGCACTGATGTTCTCTGGCAACATATTTATATCACTGAGAAATCTGGTACTAGTTGACGTCACTGAAAAATCTGTGTGGCATTTCTACAAAGTTTCTACTTCAGGAATCAGACTTTTTTCAGTTGTTTCCTATGGCAACATTACTCATTACTTGCTATTTTAAAAGCTGCTACATTGTATGGGTGAAAAGTAAATGCCTCGTCATGACAACTGTTTTTATAGTCTGTTTGATGATTTCCCTGCAAATCATATTTCTTGACTTGCATTGCAGTGATACAGAGGATTTGATTATGTTATTTCATGCTGTTGTTAACATTTCTGGGGGGCAGGTATTGAAGGCACAAGAACGTTTGAGATTCCTGTGCTGTTAAACAGTGAACACGTGACATCATGCGTCTATTTTGCTAACAAGCACTGTTCTGTGTAGACTGGTGCCCCTATTCCCGCATATGGGCCCGAGTGCTGTGTCTCTCCAGTTGGTGTCATTAGAACGATTCTATTGGCTGGTAAAACTGACCCCCCTCGTGGCACCAATGTGCGAGAAAAACTCACACTTTTGCACAGGGTCACAGATCCCAAAGCCACGCCAGATCATTAGATATGTGCTGGCTGAATATTCACATACTCAGTTTTGACAGCTTCCAGACAGTCCACTACAGTTTAATTGTATAATGATTTATTTCATGTCACTCCAGAAAAGGAGTTATACAATTCTGTAGCCAACACCTTTTCTCAGAGCCAAGTACAATTGCATTTTTCTTTTCTCAGTCTGACTCCTGTCTCATCAGGCAGAGAGGGAGTCATTTTCTCAGTCCCTGGCATAATTAATTTCTCCCAGTAAACTGGGTGGAACAGCTTGTAGGAGATGTCAGTCCATTGAATGAAACACTCACATAGTACAGGCCAGTTGAACTCACTGCATGTTTTTCTAAGATTTGCTCAGAGACTGGAGTAGCCAGAGACACGAGGAAAACAGGCAAACACCACACACACCCCATGGGGTTGGGGATTTGAACCCACAACCTTACAGGTGTTAGACCAACAACCCAAAGTAAATGTCAGTCTTCCTTATAAAGAAACTTAAAAATGGCTGCCATCAGTGATTGATCATTCACTCATGTGAAGCGAAGCTCTGTGTGGGGGTTAACATAACAGGAATTGCTCGGACGAGGTGCCCAAAAAGCGTGGTGTCTGTTCCAGCCAGGAGAGCATCAAGTCTCAGACTGCGATGTTTGCGTCAAGCAGTTGTGAGAGAAAATTCCCTCAGGCTGCAGTGTTACGAGTAAACAGGCCTGCAAGAGCCGCTCTGATGTGTCAGCGCTAAGGCGCTACTCTGCACACGGGTGCAAATCACAGGCTTCTGACCTCCAGCACCCCGTGAA